TTCTGAGCAAAGATTCTGCAGCCCCCAAACAGCTCAGCTGCAGGATGGGCCTCACACTGTCTAAACCTGAAAGAGAAAGAAGTCAAAGAAGTAGTGTCAGGTCACAGATCAGTTACATGCAGGTCATTCAATAATTCTTTGAACATTTTAGATTTGCTATGATGATCTTATTTACTCTTTTATCTTTTGTTTCAAAAATCAGTGTTCCGTGAAGCATTTCCAGTCTGCATACACCATAACATCAGCCCCCATAAAAATCTGCATTTACAAAAGATTTCGGAGAGCACGAGTATGTGGGAAGGGTTGAAATATTTAGGAGCAACTAGGCTGCATACAATGCCTCACTTTGGGAACATTTGCAATTGGACTTTCAAGGACTGAGTTGACAACTAACTTGAAAACAACCACCTGAGCCATTCCAAAGGTATCTGACTGCTCTTCCTGTTTACGAAAAGGGGGCTCTTGTTTGTCCCAGTCTCATTTTATTTTTGTTTACTAGAATTTAAAAGCACTGATCTGGATGGCCCAGGCTAAGCTGATCTCAGAAGCTAAGCAGGGTTGGTATGGCCCAGTATTTGGATGGGAGACCACCGAGGAATAATACTGCCAGCTGAAAGATGGCATAAGAAAAGAGAGCACAGCCCTACTGCCTCTTAACTAGGGGGGGGGGGAGTAAATACCCTACAGGTCATCAAATAAGAAATAACAGACACAGCAACAGGAGGGAGGAAAGGGAAAAGGGAGAGGCCAGTCTAGGATGGAAACCGTTGCTGCCCTCAGCCGTAAGCCTGGCAGAACATCTTTGTTACAGGCCCTGCGGAACTGCATCAAATCCCACAGAGCCCGGATCTCACGCGTCAGAGCATTCCACCAGGTCGGTGCCAGGGCTGAAAAAGCCCTGGTTCTACTCGAGGACAGCCAGATGCTTTTTGGGCCAGGGATCACCAGTAGGTTGTTATCCACTGAGTGTAAAGCTCTTTGGGGGATGTACCAGGAGAGGCAGTCCTGAAGCTATGTGGTCCCAGAGTGTTTAGGGCTTTAAAGGTTAATACCAGAACCTTGAACCTGATCTGGTATTCAACCTGAAGCCAGTACAGCTGGTGGAGCACCAGCTGAATGTGGGCTCTGAACAAGGTCCCTGTGAGAACACGTACTTCTGCATTCTGGGCCAGTTGCAATTTCTGGGTCAGTCTCAAGGGTAGCCCTTTATAGAGTGAGTTACAGTAGTCTGATCCGTTGCATGGATCACTGTGGCTAAGTCAGGGCAACACAGGCAGCGAACCAATTGCCTAACCTGGTGCATCCAGAATCACACCCAGACTTCTGACAGCTGGCATTGGTGTTAAGGGCACATCATAAAGAGCTGGGAGTCGGCACCCTAACCCTGAATTTCCCCAACCCAGCCACAGAACCTCCATCTTAGATGGATTTAGTTTCAGCCAGCTCTGTTTCAACTGACCAGCCACAGCCTCCAAACCCTTGGCCAAGATATCTAGAGTGGTATTCGGCCAGCCGTCCATCAACAGATACATACTGGTGACAACCCAGCCCGAAACGCCATACCAGCTGGATGAGGGGATGCATACAGATGTTAAATAATACTGGGGAGAGGACTGCCCCTTGGTGAACACCACACAACAAAGGGCATTGTGGTGAGACCCTCTCCCCTAGCACCACCCTCTGTTCCCGACCTTGGAGTAATGAGAAAAACCACTTAAAGGCCGTCCCACAGATCCCCACATCGGCAAGGTGGTGGATCAGCACATCATAACTGACCATGTCAAATGCTGCTGTCAGATCAAGTAATAACAGCAGCACTAACATGCCTTGATCCAGCTGTCTACAGAAATTGTCTGTGAGGGCAACCGATGCCGTCTCCATTCCATGGCTGGGGCAGAAGCTGAATGGGAATGGGTCCAGAGTTGAAGAGTCTTCCAGGGAAACCTGGAGCTGTTCTGCTGCTGCTCTCTCAACTACCTTGCCCAAGAACAATAAATTCAATACTGGACAGTAACTGGACAGATCAGTAGGATTCAAAGATGGTTTCTTTAAGAGTGGCCTCTCCACTGCCTCCTTTAATCTCCCTGGGACCATCTCGCCCTTCCTTACCCAGGTCTTGGTCACGCATGCCAGGCCCACTTTTTATGCTGAAAAATAATTCTTAAGCATTACAGTCTTGTTATTAATGGACTTGGCATTGAACAACAACAGTGTTGGAGAAAGGTTTACCTTCTTATCCCCACCACCAGCATGTCTTAGGATGGGCTGAAGGTTGGAATGAATGAATGAATGGCCCAAGTAAATCCTACTCAACCATACATTCATACCAGCTAGTTTTGTATCCAGCAATAGAGGAAAGTCCCAAGCTGCAAAACAGAGCTACAGACAAACTTGTCCCAATATGTTGATTCCCAACTCTAGTTGATTCCCAACTCCCAGGACCCAAGAGTCATTTTCTTTCCCCAGAATCTTCAGGTTCCAACCAAGTTAAGAAGAACAGCACTCACATAGAGATAATGACACTGTTTGTGGTATTTTACATGATATCTGTGGTTGTGATGACCTTAATACTCAAAATGAAGTCACTGATCCACAATATTCACAACTCAGCTGAAAACATTTCTAAAGCCTACTAGTGTCTTGGTAAGTAAAACCTATAAGAGCCTCAACAATGGCTCAGTTCAAATATTATGGAAAAACTCAGCTTGGTCTAATCATATCTGAAAACCCAAATAATTGTCTGAAAGCTCAGTCCATAAAGCAGACAACGGTCTAGTTCTGCTTGTCTGCTTTCATTTTCTATCTGTTGTTCAATCCCAAATCTAGATGCAGCAGCTTCCAGAGGTGGAGCACAGAGAATGTTTGTCAATTCAGACATTGCTACAAACCACAATTAAACTTCACAGACCATGGTTCAGCCAGCTTTTAGAACTGAGCCAGTGAATAGTTACACCATGACTAAGACATAGTTTCTGCAAACTCAGGGGAATCTCCAGGTCTTCAGAACAATCCAAGTGTTTTAAAAAATAATCTGGGAGTATACTCTCCTGGAATTAATAATTCTGCACTTGTCCAGATGTCACCAAAAAAGCCTGCTGACAATGTGGGATTGGCTTGAACTATCTGCTGGACAGTGTCATCCCAATGGGGAGGATTTGAAGATGCCATCAAAACCACTCAAGACCATCTTGTTTACAAAAAAGCACTTTATTATTGTTACTGTTGTTATTATCCATGATTATATTGTTTTATCTGGTTTATGTATGAGCGTATGCCCCTTGTAAGCCGCCCTGAGCCCGCTTGCTGGGAGGGTGGGGTAAAAATGTCTAAATAAATACAAGACTGTTACTAGCAATGGAAACTGCTGGGGGATGTGTGAAGGAGCAGTGACAGCCACCTGAGGCAGGTGATGAGGAGAAGCTAGCTCCATCTCACCTCCCCTGCCTGCTTCTCTCTTCCCTAATTACTTTGGCTTGCCTTCCCCACCCTCCTGCTTCCTCCTCTCACTGTGTTAAGCTAGCATGGTTCTGGGCAGAGGGAGGCAAGCCAGAAGTGGTGCTGATGGACACAAACAGGAGGCAGAGGGAGGAACAAGAAGAGGAGAATGGGAAAGAGCTGCTCAGATTACATTTTATTTGAAAGAAGCACACAAGCAACCTTAAGCATAGATATTAGGGGCTGTGATCACACACTGTGAATACCATTTTATTTTAATGACCTGAAGCCACAATGAAATATTTCTAGAGGATGTTAAAATAATGTAAAATAATATATACTTTTTAAAAACGTAAAATAATGTAATAATTCAAATCACAAGACTATGCTTTCTTTTTCCAGTAAGCCACACCCTAGTAAATCATAACCTGCCGAAGCACATATTACTTCTGAATAGATTTCTCGTCTCCATCAGCCCAGTTTAGAAGACCTTCTTTATGTTCACATCATATGGGAACCACTCACAGCAAATGTCAAATGTGCAGAAGGAAAAAATAAGAAAATACATCTAGTATCTATTAGAAAGACCTTGAAGCAATTTAATAATGATTGCTGAAAATCCATTATGTCCCTTCTCATTTCACATCATTATTCTTGTGAGCTTTTTATAACCCATAAAATGGCTGCCAGGCGACTTGAATACCGCAGTAGATTTTTATTTATCTAGGCTTACACTGGAGACTTTCTGTTACAATATTCAGCTACTTGAACTCCCACTCAGTATTTTATTATTTCCTCCACACAATTTTTTTTTAAACTTTTGCAACCTCCTGCATGAAGATTGTTCCTGATTTTCATGTATTTTGCTCACAAACCACATCGTCCTTCTGAAACTTCAATCTCTTTCAAACATTCCTTTACCAGTGCAGATGCAGCAACTCCCTCATTTGTCACAGAACATCTAAGGACTTCGGTCCACTTGAGTTACTGGGGCAAAGCACACAAACAGTGCATTTCCCAAGGTGCTGGGCACAGCACCAATGGCCTTAACTGTGCTGTCACAACAAACCAAATCAGAGAAAGTCACAACAGGAGCTACCTGCACCACACAAGGAAGAAAATGAAGTGGTCTCGTACACAAGAACTTCTAGAAGAAGCCTAGAAATAAAGAGCTGCCTTATGTCAATGCCAATGGTCTATCCAGGCCACTATTAACTCAGCCACCTGAGGACCAGAAACATTACCCCAAAACCTTGGATCCATATGTCTGGTTCACTCACACTTCTGCTCCACAGGTAAAGATGTTTTGGGCTAAACCTGAGTGAAGTGTAGATCCAAACTAAATATCAAAATCTGAAATATAATAGGGATACTCTGAATTTGTGCATCAGCCCTCCAACAGAATCTGCAGTAAAAAGAAGCCCACAGAGATGCTAAGACATTTAAAGATGCTTTACAACAAATAGCATGTAGTAAAAACAGCATAAAATAATATCGTAGAACAAACATTCAGGTAAATATAGATACATAATCTATACACAACATCTTTCAAAGTTGTGGCTTACCTGAACACAGTTGTTCGACTTTTGTGTAATTTAAAGCTACTATATCATTCACCCATGCAATGATGTCATGTCTGCTCATAGTTTCTTGGGTTATAGAGGTAGAATACACGTTGACCGCCATTCCCCAACTGTAAGATAAAACAGGTAGGTAAGATGTATACTGAAAATAATTGTGTTTTAAAACAGACAGTCTAGCTGTGATCTACGCTGATATGATTAAACCATACTTGAGGTTCTCCAAGTTCATTTTAGCTCTTCCTTCAATATTACTATCATAATGAGGTCTTTCAAAGGGCTCTCACTTAGAAAAAATGCTGAAACACACTAAAAATGTGCTTTTCAGCAGGAACCAGCTTTTCGCTGAGGTCAGGTTGCCTAAGACCCACAGGAGGGATTTTTCAGCTGCACCCCAATGTTATAGAACTCCTTCCCCATTTCTTCAAGCTTTTTTGATGAGTTAGAAACTTAAGACCTCTGAATTGGATTAATTAGGACAGTACCTGCCACTTTTTGGTTACCTTGTGAGTTCCTCCCTGTGTTGTATTGTTTGGTGATTTTAATCAATCTGTGAGGATTGTATGCATTTAATATGGATTGGTTTGGTTTTAATTATGTACACTGCCTTGAGCACCTCTGGGTAGAAAGGCGGTTGACAAATACCCTAAACCAAATATTTGCAGGACATTAGTTTCCATGCATAGCTTCCAAGATTTGCCTTGTTTGGTAAACGTTTTAGGAAGAGTCATCTGATCAATAAGTGAATCACCTCCTCTTTTCAGGTGAGGAGGCAAAAACAGTGTGTCAACAATACCCCCCCTCCCATTTTTCCTTGAGAAAAGCAAATGAATTTTTTTTTTGTCTCTGGCCACCAGCGTCTGACCAGAGACAGTTTTCCAATTACATCCTGAAACAGTCTGGGATGGACAGCACATACAACAGTAAGCATAAAACAATGCAAATTAAGAGGTCTGCTACAAGTCCACAGAATCTCTTTCTCACACTTATTTTTGTGTACATAAGAACTCACATTCCTCAAGAATACTGAGAAATGTGTTTTAAACATACACTTATTCTCCACTGTTAACCAGGATTTTGGGATATGTTTGTTAATGCCCGCAGGCAGCTCCAATAAGCTTAAATAGGTCTAAATAATTATGTACAATTAACTACATTCTTCACTGTAGGACAGTTCAGCTCATTCCTGGTAGATGTGGCTACTCAGCATTTTAGAGCGTTATTTGTTTTTACTTTGCCAATACGTTTAGGCCATAACACCACAAATACTTTCATAAGAAGCAGATGCATCAACTAGAAGGTACAAGATGCCATAACCCACTAGCATCAGTCTTCAATAGCACTTCAGTGACGTCACATTTTGTGGCTTATAGGTATGAGGCATTCCCCAATGTACATCTACAATTTCATACTTTCGTAAATATTTAAACACAGCATCCATTTTATATTACGTATGTGGCTTGCTCATGCGTGCCATATTTATATCTGGAACCTACCTGACACATACATTGGTTGGTTTGATGTAATATTACCTATTTTACTTGAGAACTAGACCATGTAGATTTGTTAGGATGTACTTAATTATTTTATTATGCTACTGAGGAAGAGCAGAGGGCAAGTACAAGTAACCCCAGAAAGAGTGAAGCGGCTGGGCCAAAGCCGAAAGGACGCTCAGCTGTGGATGTGTCTGATGGTGAAAGGAAAGTCCAATGCTGCAAAGAACAATACTGCATAGGAACCTGGAATGTAAGATCTATGAATCAAAGTAAGCTTGAAGTGGTCAAAATGAGATGGCAAGACTGAACATCGATAGCTTAGGAATCAGTGAACTAAAGTGGACAGGAATGGGCGAATTTAACTCAGAACACCATTTTATCTACTACTGTGGCCAGGAATCTCGTAGAAAAAATGGTGTGGCCTTTATAGTCAACAAGAGAGTGCAGGGGTCAGTACTGGGATACAATCTCAAAAATGACAGAATGATTTCGGTCCAATTCCAAGGCAAACCATTCAACATCACAATAATCCAAGTCTATGCCCCAACCACTGTTGCAGAAGAGGCTGAAGTGGACCGGTTCTATGAAGACCTACAACTCCTCATCATAGGGGACTGGAATGCTAAAGTAGGAAGTCAAAAGGTAACCGGAATAACAGACAAGTTTGGCCTTGGAAAGCAAAATGAAGCAGGGCAAAGGTTAACATTGTCAAAAGAACACACTGGTCATAGTGAACACCCTGGAGAAATCAAGGGAGCGTTCCATGCAAAGCTGGCCATGATAAAGGACAAAAACGGTAGGGACCTAACAGAAGCAGAAGAGATTAGGAAAAGATGGCAAGAATACACAGAAGAACTATACAAGAAAGACCTCGATGTCCTTGACAACCACGACGGTATAATCACTGACCTCGAGCCAGACATCCTGGAATGTGAAGTTAAATGGGCCTTAGAAAGCATTGCTAACAACAAAGCTAGTGGAGGTGATGGTATTCCAGTTGAGCTATTCAAAGTCTTAGAAGATGATGCTGTTAAAGTTCTGCACTCCATTTGCCAGCAAATTTGGATAACGCAACAGTGGCCACAGGATTGGAAAAGGTCAGTATACATTCCAATCCCAAAGAAGGGCAATGCCAAGGAATGTTCAAACTATCGCACAATTGCACTCATATCACACGCTAGCAAGGTCATGCTCAAGATCCTACAAGCTAGGCTTCAACAGTACGTGGATAGAGAACTACCAGAAGTACAAGCTGGGTTTCGAAGAGGTAGAGGAACTAGAGATCAAATTGCCAACATTCGCTGGATTATGGAGAAAGCAAGAGAGTACCAGAAAAATATCTACTTCTGCTTCATTGACTATGCTAAAGCTTTTGACTGTGTGGATCACAACAAACTATGGCAGGTCCTTAAAGAGATGGGAGTACCAGACCACCTCACATGTCTCTTGAGAAACCTGTATAAGGGCCAAGAAGCGACAGTTAGAACCGGATATGGAACAACTGATTGGTTTAGCATAGGAAAAGGAGTACGACAAGGATGTATATTGTCGCCTTGCTTATTTAATATATATGCAGAGTACATCATGCGAAATGCTGGCCTGGATGAATCACAAGCGGGAATTAAGATTGCTGGGGAAAAGATCAACAACCTCCGCTATGCAGACGATACCACTCTAATGGCAGAAAGTGAAGAGGACCTAAAGAGCCTCTTGCTCAGGGTAAAAGAGGAGAGCGCAAAAGTGGACTTGAAGCTCAACATCAAAAAAACTAAGATCATGGCATCCGGCCCCATCACTCCTTAGCAAATAGAACGGGAAGTCGTGGAAGTAGTGACAGACTTCACGTTCCTGGGATCCCAGATCACCGCAGACTGTGATGGCAGCCATGAAATTAAAAGACGCCTGCTCCTTGGGAGGAAAGTGATGGCGAACCTAAACAGCATGATAAAAAGTAGAGACATCACCCTGCCAACAAAAGTCCGCATGGTCAAAGCAATGGTATTCCCAGTAGTCATGTGTGGCTGCGAGAGTTGGACTATAAGGAAGGCCGAGCGCCGAAGAATAGATTCTTTTGAACTATGGTGCTGGAGAAGACTCTTGAGAGTCCTTTGGACTGCAAGAAGATCCAATCAGTCAATCCTAAAAGAAATCAACCCTGACTGTTCCCTGGAAGGCCAGATAATGAAACTGAAGCGCAAATACTTTGGCCACCAAATGAGAAGGGAGCACTCACTGGAGAAGACCCTGATGCTGGGAAAGATTGAAGGTCAAAGAAGACGGGGACAGCAAAGGATGAGATGGTTAGACAGTGTCATAGATGCAAGGAACATGAAATTGAGCAAACTTCAGAGGACGGCGGAAGACAGGAAGGCCTGGCGTGATCTGGTCCATGGAGTTGCAAAGAGTCGGACTCGACTGTACGACTGAACAACAACAACTTAATTATTTGGGGAGTTTACCATTTAGGGCTACAGAAAAATATACAAATTTATCTCATTTTAAACTGTATAGTTTAATTTTATGTCATTATTTGCCTCAGGCAGCCTCTGGAAAGTGCTAGGTAGAAATCTCAGTATTTATTTATTTATTTATTTATTTAAAAGAACTCCTATTCCAAGGGCCCAGTGGCACCTAAACTCCAACATTAATGAAATACTGTTCATACCCCCATTCTCTTCTTAGAGATTTATGACAAATTTTGGGGGGCGTTGTGACAGCATGGGTCTTCAGTTGCTTTCAGTAATTAGTTTATCACAATCTATGTGGTCCAGTGCAGGGCCCAAGATTTGGCAGAAAATAAGACAAAGTACCTCCAAATTGTACTGATAAGATTTGGGGGGGGGCAGATCTGGGGGATCCCATAGAACAGCTATACAGATTTAACTAACTACCATCTGGGTTTCTGGAGCCATTCCATGTCAAAGCAACTTGGGATTGGAGACTGTTCTCCTTTGACTTCCTCATCACATTAGGGAATCAGCCAAGAAAACAAGATGTAAGGCTGTTATGGTTCTCTGGGTGAACTTCGGGCAGCCGTAACTGGGTGACTGTGCTGGGCTGTATTTCCTCCACACAGAGCCTGTCTATCTAAGTTATAGCTAGACTGCAGATCTTAAAGTAATGGCCATAGTTCAATTCTATAAATCTATCCTTGGTGCCCCATTTCATCTCTTTCCAGTTTCTTAGCAAAACTACTGTGGTGTGGTATAGGGGTCCACATTCTAACATAGGAGATTCAAGGTTTAAAATAAAATGTTAAAAATGTTCACTGTCTTCGATAAAGTGCTCTCATTCACTGTCTCAGCCTAAACAGTTTTGCTAATGCTAGAAGAAATATATAAATTGCAAATAAGCCTCAGCCCTTGTACCAGAAGTCTACATCGGGGCAGCTTGTACTTCCCAAAAGCTGAACACATAGACAAATTTGACAGAAGAATCTTCCCAGAATTTGTTTTTGTGGGGGTCCTTTCCTTCCAAAACCAAGGACACACTACTACAGCAACAACTACACAGAACTCCCAAGAACATCTTAGAATGTCAGTAAACTGTACTTGAAAATATAATCAGAATAAAATGTATATCATAAAAAAGTAATAGCAATGTGCATGCCTATATAC